AAAAAAAAAACCTTAATTGAGAAACACCGAGGGTATAAATATAACACAATCCAGCTTATATATCACAGTGCACTTGAAGAAACTTCAAGTATCTTCAAATAATTTATCTGAAGAAATGCAGTAATTTTTTCAAGTATTAATAACTAAGACTTCGATTCAATAACGTACTGTATCATGTCAGATCCATGATTCGACGACTGAAGAATTACTAGTGAACTCTCGGTTGATTGTTACTGGACATTCTCTTGGAGGAACAATTGCTTCTCTCTTTACTCTATGGTTGTTAGACAACATCAAAAAGACAACCAGAAGAAATCAACTCCCCTTCTGCATCACTTTTGGTTCACCCCTTGTAGGCGACCAAGGCCTCCAACGAGCCATCTCAGAACATTCAAAATGGAATTCTTGTTTTCTACACGTTGCTGCCTTCAAGGATCTATCCCCTGGAATTTTCATAACTTCACAGCCTGATCCTCAGTACATGCCTTTTGGTACATATTTCTTCTGTTCTGAGCTGGGATGCAACTGTGTTGAAGACCCTGAAGTGGTTTCATGGTTATTGAAAAGCACAATAACTCCAGTTTCCGCTGAAGAAATGGGGATTGATGATTATAGTGGAATAGTGAAGCATCTGAAGTCGAGGCTTATCATGAAGGATAATTCACAACTTGGCCAACCAGTTACGCCTTCACTTCGGCCAGAGATGATTTTACAACTGAAAGCCATTGGATTTGAAATAACTGCTCAGGTAACTAGCACCGTTTTTCCCAATAAAATATAATTGCACAAAGTTTCTTCACAACATTTATTGATGATCTTCACAAACAACTCAATGTCACTATTTTGATGATGCTATGGTCCTTCAAAACTTCAGGCCAAGGCATAACTAGAGTGATCATTATATAAATTGGCAATTATTTTTTCCCTTTAATAACCCAGGTTCAGTTAGTTTTTTAGCTACCTTCTTCTAGTTTTTCAAATAACTAATGGCAATTCCGTTTAAATTCAGCAGCAGCAGGACAACATCATCAATGATCTTATTTCAGAATGGGAAAGACATGAAAATCGAAAGGCGCAACAAATGAAGGCTATTGACCCGAACGAAAAACTAAACATAGTTAAGATAAGAATGGCCAACTTAGAATGGTACAAGAAAGACTGCAAGGCTAAGGGGGTAGGCTACTATGATAGTTACAAGAACCTGTACTTCACAAGAGATGGAGAGGTTACCAAGCACAAGAAAGTTCTCTTCGATTACTGGAAAAAATTGGTGGAGGACCTTGAGCGAAAACCCCAGAAAGAAGGAGCATTGATGCGGGAGACATGGCTTTTCGCTGGAACAAATTATAGAAGAATGGTTGAACCACTTGACATTGCTCAATACTATAGACAGACTGGGAAACGAGACTATCTAACTTATGGAAGATCCAGACATTATATTCTGCTGGAGCAATGGCAAAAGGAGCAAACAGAAAAACTTGCAGGCCCACCAAATGATAAGAAGAAACAAAGTGTGGCTGGTATTCTTACAGAGGATTCTTGCTTTTGGATGAAAGTGGAGGAGGCTCTCATTTCATGCAAATTGTTGAAGGATGAAACCTCCAGTACTTCAGAGAAACAGTCAGCGAGAGAGTTTCTGAATATTTTCGAGCAATATGTGATGGACCAAATTGATAACTATGCGGTGTCTCCTGAGATTTTCTTGGAAAAAAGCAGTTTTATGAAATGGTGGAAAGATTTTCAGGAAATCATTGAAACATCCCGTAATTCTCCTCTCACTGACTTCATGAAGAATCGCAGATATCGCCAATATGAAAGGGGGCAGTTTTAGACTTTGTTTTAAGTTCTTATGGATTGTATTACTCAGAATTTGTAATTGCTATAAGGCCAAATAACAAATGGTACAATCGTACCTGTTTCTTTATTTTAATCTTTTCTGTTCAAACAATTCATTAATGTTCTACTCCATGGCATCACTGGTAAGAATGAGGGAAGGACAGGATTATTGAGTTGGTGCAGAGCTCAAACAACAAACACAAGACGATTTAAGTTCTAGAGAAACTGAAAAAAGGTGATTAGTTTTTACCAATCACCAAAAAAGGTAAGGGTAGCATCGAAAAAGACGGTATGTTCTCCCAACCTTCACAATAGTAGATGAAACAGGAAGCGCTCCGAAGTGTCTGCAATCCAGAATACTAATCTATTCACACACACAGAGGGAGTAGAAGTCACAGGATAAAACAATTAAAATCGTGTATTGTTGTCATGCATCGTTGACCATACGTGAATAATTGGATGAATTCAACAGAAATAGATATATGAGAGAAATACAGATCAACAAACACACTGTCTAATTCATAGCAAGAAATGGTGAATGTTTCGCAACAAAACAGAAACAAAGGAAGATGTCAGCTGACCTGTTGATGCGAATTCGTACGCCGAACAAACATGGAAGGAGGAGGAAGGAGGGACAAAATGACAAAAAAAATTTGGACCATTTCTCGATTTGTGCGTGTCATCCTTGCGCAGGGGCCGTGCTAATCTTCTCTGTATCGTTCCAATTTTATCAGATGTCTCCGAAGAGACAGGCCATGGTTGCTTCTCTGCATTCATAACGACTCGTGTTGTCGTGTAGCTAGTCGATGTGGGATTTAGTTCGATCCCAACTAATAAACGTCACTCCTTTGGCTTACACACGCCAGCCTCCTACTTGTGGTGCCGTCTCTTTCACCGTTTCACGTGATACAAAGTCAATTCGTGAGTGCTGTTTTTATATTAGATGGGCTTTGTACTCGCCCAAATTTTGAATCCACGCACTTTTTTATTTTTATTTAAAAAACAAATTGAAATGCAAACATAATTTTTTTTATTTTCTTTTATATAAAGTGGATCTCAAGCGAGCTTGTAGATGCTGAATTAGATCTTTATACCTCAAATAAAACCTATAAATTAAGACTTTCATTTTGTGATTTATTGCGATGAATATTAGTGGACAGAGAAAGTCAAACTAAAAACTACATATATCTTGGCCTTCTTCCACCCTATTAACTCAATCACCCATTAGTAATTTAATATTATATAATTTACACTGAAAATATAGATAAAGATTGCTTGCCTGCTTGGAGTTGCGGTGTAACTCATGTATCATGATTTAAAAAAAAAATTATTTAATTTTTTTATATTTTTTTATATATTTTTAAATATATTTTTAAATTATTTTTTGATATAATGATGTTAAAAATAATTATTTTAAAAAATATTATTTTAATGTATTTAAAAATACTTCAAAAAATATCATTATTGCACTGTAAGCACCCCCATTAAATTACCATTTATATTGTTCGAAAAGATTTCTTGTCACTTGAGCTATGCATTCAATATAAACACCTATTTTTTTAGTGTATTTTGTAATGCAATACATTATATTTTTTATAAAACATAGAAACTTTAAAATAAAAACTTGTAAAGTATTAATTTGATTTTTTTAAATAAAAAATACTTTAAAATTCTTGTTAAACCGCAAAAACAATATAACTTCAGTGTCCATTTTGCAACACCATAATTGCCATGAGGGGCATAACCTCAATTAGGTGTTTTGGGCCTCGTTATGTCGAAAATGGGATAATTATACATCTGCAACTGACCTATCCATCCTTGTTAGAACAAGAAAAAATGATTTAACCTACGACTGAGAATTGCCCCAAGCCAAAAATAATAATTAAGTCCACAATTGCCTTAATTTTACTTATTTATTTGACAAGAAATGTTGGGACTCAGGGATATGTGCTCGGAAACCCAGTTGCAGATGATTAGATCGACACCGATTCAATAGTTCCACTTGTTCACCAAAAAGCACTTATATCAGATGAACTCTATGAGGTAACTTCCCCTCTCTTTGCTCTGCTCTGCTCTTAACTCTCTAGCCGCAGCTAGCTAATTCTTGTAAAAAAAGAGAAAAAAAACTCTTTCGCCTGTTCTAGTCCTTCAAGAAAAATTGCAAGGGTGAGTACTGGAATCCAGACCGAAGCAATGCATCATGTATGGAAGATATACTAGCCATCAAGGAGGTGGGTAATTAATTCATAAAATCAAAGCTTGACATAAATATTCTGCATCATGCATAAAGTTTATCAGCATGGAAAATGACCTCTCTTTTGAATTTATTGTGCATTGGAAAAGTTTGGACTGCACAAATACTGGAACCTAGTTGTAAGCTTCTCAGAGACTATGACACTGATACTCTGCTATCAAGCCGCCCTAATCCTGGATCATGGTGCCGGGTAAATTGAACTCTTTCTCGATGTTTTTTTTCCCTCCTGTTTTTGCTCTCTTACGCATAAAAACCATTGCAAGCTATTCAGAGGTTGGTCATCAACCAGCTTATTGGATTTGTAGAATTATGATTATGTGTACATCCGTACGTGGGCTAATGATAGAACTGTTCAAGATGCTCTTCATAAGGTACGCGAGCTCTGTAAGTATTAGCAGCCAGACTCCAAATAATTCTGCTGAAAAAAAAAATTGAAAATCATAACCAGGGAACTAACAAGGATTGGAAAAGATGCAACAAGACCTCAGCCTATTCGGAAAACGTCAAAAGTACAGTTGACGGCCATCGGAACTTGACAAAGAAAGCGTATCGAGCTCTAGTTCACAGGTAATGAATGCTACGCCCAAACCCAAATTATTTTGAAGTTTCCCATTTTGTTGCAGCCTAGACCATTGTTTCAACATGAATATCAATGGCGATCGTGACATGCTTATCCCATGTGTCGGTACTCGTGAGAGGATAGAATCTCTGAATTTGACGATTAAGCTTTCGTTTGATATTGTAATTTAAACGGGGGTTAGGTAATTTTTGAAAAATTATTTTTATTTAAAATTACTATTTTTTATATTTTTTTAAATTTTAATATACTAATATTAAAAATATTATTTTAAAAATAAAAAATACTCTAAAAAACTACTACTACAGTATTTTCAAACATTTATGATTAAACCAACCACAACCATATTCCAAAACCAGCTCTACACTGAAAGTGTAACACCCTCCCACTTCCACCTACCAGTTCACCACAACCATGACATCTCGCCCACAAACACCACCACACCAGGACCCGATGGCCCGTCCCGCGCCGGCCACAACCTCTCTCACCGTCCCTTTCCCATCCTCTCGCAAAAAAGGAACAGGGGTCCGACCCTGGCTCTTATTGGACTCAACAGGCCAGGCCCAGGTAGTGGAAGTTGGTAAGCACACCGTCATGCGCCGAACTGGCCTTCCTGCTCGCGACCTCCGGATCCTTGACCCGTTACTTTCTTACCCATCTACTGTTTTGGGTCGAGAGAGAGCGATTGTTATTAACTTGGAGCATATTAAGGCGATTATTACAGCACAAGAGGTTTTGTTGTTGAATTCTAGAGACCCTTCTGTCACTCCATTTGTTGAAGAGTTGCAGAGGAGGTTGATTTTTCATTATCACGCTACTAAAGCTCAGGTTTTACTGCCTGTTCTTTTTTTGTTTCATTGATTGTTTTGATTTGGTGTAGAGTGAGTGACTTTTTTGTGTTTGTTTAATGTGGGATTTCTTATTGGAGTTTGTGCTGCTGCTAGTTTCATTGGATTTCAAACAAGAGCATAAAAGGAATGCCATGTTATTTTGCTTGTGTTTATTAAGTTGATGTGCAAATTTACAGGGATTTTCCCTCTTAATTAGGAAATACTGAGGGCATTTAGAATGGTCACACTTAAAGTTGGATTTGGAAATGTCGGCATAGCTGAATAAAACTGACATTGCAAGTAAGATTTGTAATTGGCAATTGAATTTGAAAGATGGGTTAATATTGAGTGGTGAGTGAGAATGAGGCAATTAACTGGAGAGTCTTATTCTGGAGTTATTTTTACTTCTGCATGAAATACATTGGAAGTGTGATGTGTCGATCAACTGTTTGTTTTTCAATTAAATTCCTTGCAAAACAATTTGGAACAGGTCGAGTATTTGCAAGTAAAAATTTAGTTGATAAATTTCTATTTGCCAATCAAATATCTAAAATTTAAGCATGATTCGATAGTAAATAAGATTTTTGAAGCTTCAATTCAAGAGATATATTTGATTTGTTTCTTTCTTACTAGCATTAAAATCATATGTTCCTATGGTTTCCTATTGTGTACTTTCTTTTGAATATATTTTGAACTGTCATATTGTTTCTTTTTCATAAATTTTTTCGGTTCTTGTTTAGGAGGGAAATGGTGATCATTCAAAGGCAACTCCTTGTCGTGTGGAAGAGCCTGATTTCAAGGGTTCAAGTCCTGAAAAAAGTCCAGTAGGCTTTTCACATTTTGAGGATTGCAATGAGGGAATTAAGGCAGAAGGGAAACAGGGTCTCGAGAATCGAGATGGATCAAAGGTTCTTCCATTTGAGTTTGTTGCATTGGAAGCATGCCTTGAGGCTGCGTGCAGTTGCTTAGAAAGTGAAGTGAGCATACACAACTAGTTGTTGGATAGATTTTCTTACAAAATGAAGCTAATAACCTTAATCTCAAGGCTGATAACTTTCTGGCAGCATTAAAATCCCCGCTCTAATTATTTCCTCCCCCCTTTCCATTTCTTATGCAGGCAAAAACACTGGAGCAAGAGGCGCATCCAGCGTTGGATAAGCTGACTTCAAAGATCAGTACTCTCAATTTAGAACGTGTCCGCCAGATTAAAAGTCGTTTGGTTGCAATAACTGGCCGAGTTCAAAAGGTTTGATTATGCTTAAGTTTTTTGTCAATACATTTATTTTATTATAGCATGGGGTAATAGGCTGATATGAATTGCTACCTGGTTTGCAAGTTTAAGAAGTTTTAAAAGTTCTGTGCTCCAAAAGATTTACATAGAGCTCTCTTATGTTACTGTAATTGATCAGGCATGTAAATGTTCAGGTTAGGGATGAATTAGAACACTTGCTGGATGATGATGAAGACATGGCAGAGATGTATCTAACAGCAAAGCTGGTTCAACAACAGCTTGAAGATTCTTCAACTTCCTCTTTAAATGAGGGAAATGACATGGATGATGATGAGCTTCAAGCAGACTCAGATGACAGGTGCCTAATAATTTAATCTCTCATCATAAACGTTCTCAATTTTTTTCCCCTCTTGTTTGCTAAGCTATCTTCTTGTTGAAAATTTCTCATTATTTTGCATCAGCATCCCTGCTGAGGTGTCATTGGGAGCCCTTGCTAGCCACAAGGATGATATTAACAACATTGGTAATGAACGTGATCATCTGTTTACTGCACCTAATGGACTTGGCAGATACAGCCATACCCATACTAGTACAACCCGAAGTGCTACAAGTAAGCATCTCAATGTAGAGGAGCTAGAAATGCTCCTGGAGGCGTACTTTGTACAAATTGATGGCACATTGAACAAATTATCCACGGTATGCAACTTAATTTTTCCACTTGGTTCTTCTACACACAGTCCATTGGCACCATTTGTTCTTATCTTTCTGAATTTTTTTGTGGACAAGATCCACACTCCATATGACGTGCTCCCATATCCAGATGTTTATGAGCACAAATGATTATTTTGAGTCCTCCTAGTTGAAATTTTAATGGTGTAACTGCAGTGTATTCTTTCGCAAACAAGCATAGAGCACCCCAAATACCTTTGATGCTTCCAGTACATGAAGCTCTTTACTCATTTGCTGTCATTGTAACTTGTTAGTGCTCGCTGTGCCAATCTGTGTCTAGGTCTCCCATCCAATCAAACACAAAAGCAAATGATGCTACTAGATGTGATGCTACAATTTTAACTATTTCCCATGGTTTTGAAACTGAACCGGTAGGACACATTAAATGTAGAACTATCTTCAGTTGTTAGATATAGCATAGGAGAAGTGAAGTGTTTACCTGACTTAGGGCACAGCAGGAAATGGAACAAAGATTGTTAAGAGATCTTGGGGCTGATGGCTTGAATGCTCTTAACTTTTTTCTATCAGCAACTTGCCTTAGCAAGAATCCATATCTCAGAATGACCAGAGCAGAATTTGATGAGTGCAAGATGACAACCACTTAAACCTTCTTGATGAAGGTTGATGCAGGATCTTGACGAACTAGATTTCCTAGATGTCCAGTAAATTGAAAGATTCTTATGAAGTCTTTCCTTATGGATCTTGAGTATGAGTTGCCAGTTTAGGTTTGCTATACCACTCTCAATGCCACTTTCAAGAGTGAATTGAACAGTGTATTTGGCTGAGGGGTATTGTGCATGACCTTCATTAAGGTATAACTGCTGGGTTGAGATTAAGCCTCATTCTGTAAAACCAGCTTTCATACCATGATAAAATAACTAAAATGAAATACAAAAGGAGGCTAGAATTCTCAATGATCTGTTTATTATGAATACTTAGGGTTAACCTAAATACAAAGAAATTATATATAGGTTGAACTGAAAAAATACTATTATACCCTTAATAAACAAGACTAAATAAAAATTATTTAACAGCTTGGACATGTCAAACAGCCCCAACTTTGATTTGAAAAGTCAGGGCCAATGACAGAGTAGAGTATGTGCATTCTATTTGTGTTGCCGTGCATTGATGCATGTCCTTGCCTGTGATATTTCCATAACGATGCAATGTTGTACATGACTGAACCATAAAAAATGCTTTATATCCTTTCGCATTATATGTCATTAGCAAAAGTATGCTAGAAACTTGTGATATTGAGCTTTGTATCGTTTCTAATGTTATAATTAATTTTCTCTGTGGCTGCTATTTAACCTGTTCTTTTCCATGTCATTTGATGGTCATGAAGCTGAGGGAGTACGTTGATGACACAGAGGACTACATCAACATAATGCTGGATGACAAACAGAATCATCTCCTGCAAATGGGGGTTATGTTGACGACAGCAACCTTAGTGGTGAGCTGCTTTGTTGTCGTCGTTGGTATCTTTGGCATGAATATCAAAATCGAGCTGTTCAAAGAAGACGTACAAACTGGAATGCCAAAGTTTCTATGGACCCTTGCTGGTGGCACTAGTGGGGTCGTATTTTTGTATGTGATTGCCATTGCCTGGTGCAAGCACAAGCGGCTTTTAGACAACTGAGCTGCTATGTATTTTACTGTATTATAAGCAGAACTACGAGTGGATGTTGTCTAATATATAGTTATTTACTCTGAATGCGTTCATTTACTGTTTTACCAGGCAGTTGTCAAACCACTTTGCTTGTCAAGGGTGGCCTAGCTCTTAGTGGAAATTTAAAGGTTGAATGATACGGCATGTCACTTCTCTCTGCAATGCTCGTGCCTTTTTCCATCTCCATCTTTCCTCCAGGAAAAAAGTATGCACGACTGTCTCCGCACAATTTCACTTTCCGGAGGTTTCCGAGCTGCTTCTCCTCCCTAAGCGGTTGTAAAGTATCTCACTCCCTCTACCTTCGTGGTGAGGCAGGCTAATAGGTTTCTCTTGATCAACCCTTTTTGTAGCTTGATTTTGGCTCCTCTGTGGCGCTATTTGGTGGTTTTGATGACTGCATGAGGTGTTCCAGCGTTTAAAATTAAAAGGCAATTAAAAAAGAAAATTACTCTTTTATTTTTTAAAAAAAAATTACGTTGTTTTTAATTTTTTTTTAAATTATAGTTTATAAATCAATAAAAAAAAAATTATTTATAAGATTGTTATTATACTTCAATTAACGATGTAAAATTATAAAATTGTTATATGATTGAAAGTTACCTTTTTATTATTTTTAGAGTTCAAATTACAAAACTGCCATAATTTTATAAGATTGCCTTTCGTCTAGGATTTTTATCATGTATGTGGTAGACATTCTGCAACTAGTTTATCTCTTCAGACATGAGCCCTCTGCTTCCCTGCGATCTTCCCATTCTTGCGTGTACTTGTGTTCTTAGAATCTTGCTTCATGCCTTATAATAATAGACTCTCTCAGGTGGCACAATCAAGCTCCATGCCTCTTAAATAGTGAGGATGTATTGTACTAGAACTTGCTGCATAGTGTAAAATCAGCTCTACGTTCCAAATTGCAATCCTTTTCATGTCAGATGAGGTATTATTTTTATTTTTTTTTGATTTACGTGGAGTGTGCACCACGACTAATCCCCACGGCCCACTGAACACCCTGCAAATCCAGTAAGCATGTAAAGCACCGCGAGCCAGGACTCGAACCCAGGTGCAGTGAAAGTAGATTGTCTCCAAAGATGAGGTATTATTTTTCCAAAGCTGGGTTGTGGCGAGGCTTCCTACAGATGGTGAGAAGGAAAAAAAAAGAAAAGAAAGGAGACTTTTCACGTTGGATTCTCAGAGTCATTCATTTAACTGACAAATGATTTGTAATTTTTTAGGTATCATGTCCCTCGATCATGGTTAAAGCCAAGAGGGAACTTGCTGGTTGTGTTTGAAGAATGGAGTGGAGATCCAAATGGGATTTCTTTGGTTAGAAGAGAAGTGGACAGTGTGTGTGTGCTGATACTTACGAGTGGCAGCCAACTTTGATGAATTATCAGAGTTGTAAGAAAAGGAGATAGCAGGGTGTAGATCCTCTCCAAAATTGAGAACCGAGAGATTATTGTGGGAGACAATAAGAAGCTCCACATTTCAAGGCTGAAAACTGCTCTCAAATTATTTTGATTTAAAATGTAAACAATAATTTTTTAGAAAATAAAAAAAACTCCTAGCTATGGAAAGGAAGGTAATTTTTACAAAAAAGGAAGACCCCTCCGTGTTATTTCTCTAGAGAAGGATTGACATGTCGGTTAATAGAAAGAAAGGACTGATTCGCACGTGCCAGCACCTTGCGTGTGTTTTTTTTTGCAACTTTTGAATGCGATAATTCTGTATATTATGATGATAGAAAACGAAGTATTTGGACTGGAGTTGGGAGAAGATAAGACCCGTGAAACCTCATCATCTATAAGCCCCCCAAAAAGCAAAGAAACAGAGAAGCAAACACTGGTGGCTGCAACGCTACAGCTGCTACAGAGAGAGTGTCTGTGTTCGGGTGTTTATCGAATGGTTTTCAACAGATGACTTCAATATCCCAAAGCGTGTTGATGGCACTGACAGTTACAGTCAACAAGTTTGCTTCATCAAATGTTCATGCAGTGAGTAAAAAAGAAGGTAAGAGACCACCCAAAGCAGCAACAAGGGCAGCTGACATTGGAAGAAGGGGAGTCCTCTTATCTACCATGGTTGATGTGTTTTCAGTCAATGACTCAAGCACTGATCTTCTTAGAAGTAACTAATACCCATCACAAGCTTCTTGTTTTTTATTTCCCTTCTTTTTTGTGCTTCTATGGAGCCTTAGCTGACCGAACCATTGTTTGGATGACAGGATATCTGAAGAAATCAGAGGAAAACTAGGCCAAAAATGACAAGGAGGTATAGCATTAGTTGCCACAGTACTACCTCCTACTGCTAAATTCTCCTCTCTTTTTCTATGGGTGGTTCTTGTGGAATTGAATTACAATGACTGACATTTGAAGAAATGAATGGAGGGAAGGGTATTCTTGATTGGCCAAGATCTATATTCTGCTGTTGTCAACAGCTATATATAAATCATAATCAAGATTTTTCTTGTATGTTAATGAAACTTATTCGCGTTTTGCGTTCTCCTTTTCTTTTCTGGTGAAGAAATGCACTCGATCGATTTTATACTGTTCTACTGATACGCAATTATTATTGTGCTGCATGTGTTTGATATCATAGTTTAAAATATTTTTTAAAAATTATTTTTTATTTTTAACATCAATACATAAAAATCATTAAAAATACTAAAAACAATATCAATTTAATATTTTTCAAGTTAAATACAACCAAATATAAATAATAAATGCAAAAACAAATTGTATTAAACCAATGTGCGAGATGTGGCTATAGTGTACTCAATTTTATTTTATTTTTTATTTGGAGACCCGCCAGCTCGTAGATTCCATTATAAAAAGAAATACCCTTTCAATTTGCTGAAATTCCAGCCTCAATTTAAATCTGAATTATTCGCATTGGAAAACTACGATATGAAAGCTTCGTGTCTCAGATGCATGGATCTGGTGGATTTTTCACATTTATTTCCGTACTCCATTGCTTTGGACAAATATCTGGTGGCTAAAATCACATGTGGTCCCTCAAGTATTAAAATCAAACCTTTTAGTTTATTTTTCTCCAACTCGAATCCTATGCTGAGATCTATCAATATCAGTGATCAAATCCCTTTTTTCCCACTTAAGTGTGTGCCAGTAGAAACTCATATGGGGGAACACAAACTCAAAGAAGGGACTCAATTATTTGTAAATCGGTTGTCGGCGATTCAGATGACCGACAATTCGAATGATCAATTTGAAAAAGATACAGAACTCGAGGGACTGAGCATGTTTTTATCCAACAATCTTTTGGGTCCCCTCTAGTCTGACCGGTCCAGAACGACATCTGGGAGGGTTTTTTATACTTTCAGCACAAGAAATTTAATGGCCTTTTTGAAAGAACATAGTAAGATGGGCCCGTGAGTGGACTGAGTAGTTCCTCTCTTTTAATGGCCCAATTTGCACTCTGCCGAACGCTGCCCTTCCTTCTTTCTTCTTCTTCTTCTTTTTAAATTATTATTATTATTATCTTTAATAAACGAACAATAAAAATCCTTTGGCCAGGAATTTGAATTTATCAAATAATATTAATGAAAATAATAAATTCTGCTTAAAACATTTACGTATAGTAATTTCTCGAGTCATCCAAAATGTTAAACAACATTTATTAAAAAAATCCTTTAAGCCACGTGTTAAACGATATTTGTTGGGTTTATTTTAAAAGTATTTTTTGAACCCATTTTATTTGTTTGAATATACCAGTATTATTCTTAACAAGGGAATAGACGTGATAACTTCTCCAATTTTTTATTTGAAATGTAAAGTATATAAGGAAGTTGAATTCAGGAATAACATGTGATATATAAAATGTCTTGCCATGATATGATGTTGAAAGTCTGGGGCTCGGACACAAAAGAAAGCAGTGGTCTGGACCTTTGGCTGTTCTGTTTAGCCGAACAAGATTGTGGCTCGTTTATGTCCATAAAAATGTTGAACACGTCGTAGTTTTTAAAGCGAGGCGTTGTACGTGTCACATGTTAAGCCTTTAACTCGGCCTGCATCTCTCTAGCATTCCGTTCCACAAAATCAATGTCGTCGACATTGTCGAAGTACGGGCCTTCAGAGCACAACCCCCTTTTTCTCGAGACCTTTCAGGTCAGGTTTGTTTTACGACATGGAAATAGAGATGTCATTTAGATTGTATTTAGTATTATGATAGAGTTTAAAATTTTATTTTATAAAAAATAGTTTTAATTAAAATTAGTTTTATATTTATATATATTTAGTTACAAATATGATTAAATTTGAGGTTAAAATTTGATTAAAAAATTATTTTTTAAATTGATGTTATATATATATTGGTGATTTTTAATTTAAGTATTATAGATTTAATTATTAATATAACATCATTAAATAAATAATACTTTATATAAAATAGTTTTTATTATTCTATTAAATTATCTACAATTCTATATCGTATAAAATATATTCGACAAATATCATAATTTTCTTAGTTTCTTAAAAGAATAACAATATCAGATAAAATATGATTCAGAATAAAATTAGAACTGTAATTAAATTTTATAAATATTATATTATGAAGTGCATTTCGTTTTAATTTATGTAATGTTATTAAATAATATTTAATACTAATATTTTGAATAAAATATAATTAAAAATTAAAAATATTTTTTTATTTTATTCAGTCAGATTTAATTTAATATAATTTTAATTTTGAATCGAATCTAATCCTGCTAGCATATAAAGAGTGAAATATAACTGCACTATTTAGTGATTTGTATGTGGAAGAAGTATCAAAATACAACTTTTGATAAACCTGCAGCACCATTGTATTAAATGGTGGGTCTTATAAAAAAAGAATTATATTCTTTTACTTAACTAAATGACAAAATCTGTGGCCGTGAATGACCCTCGCCCGCAGCCACAACTTAAACTCATATTTTCCATGTAAGGATAGCAACAGAATCATCGCCAATGTTTTTTTTTTTTTAATGATGGAATCATTCGATTACTAGGGGGAGATGAGATGCTGGTGTAGAAAATGCCGATAGCCTTACATATTTGATGCCGCTTGTGTTTTGCTTGCATTTCTGCCGTGTATCTATATATAGGGAGGTGTGAATTCATCCAAGGATCTCACAGAGAGGATCAGGTGCTAGCAATTCACCATTTCATTAGTGGGTGTTTCTCAATTGATAGCAACATTAATTAAATCGTGAGTCTTTTAAACACATAATTATTAATTCGTATCTAGCTAATCATGAACGCGTTGCATAAATTATACATGTGGCTGGTCACACCGTTACTAGTGATTGTAGTCTAAAGCTCTTCCACGAATTACATACCTCCTAAAAGAAGAAACATGTTTTTCCATAACAGCAGAAATAAATTTTTCATCGAGTTTCAGGTCGAAAATCATGCTTAATTAATCACCTCTTTAGTCGTATTTAGTTTGTGACTAGATCTTTTAACATGGTGCCGATTGGGATTTGATATAAAATATTCAATAATAAACATGGCCTCCATCAACTATGAAGAAAGGGAGAGAGTGCTGGTATGATGGGTCGATCTTTTATTTTAGAAATCTAGATCAGTCATGAATGGTTTCTGATTCGTAACACATGCAGCTATAGGGGTGGCGGCAATGATAAGGAACAAGAGGAGACCATTGTCACGAGAAATGGGAACACTAGCTTGTAGTTAGAACGGAAATGGAGACGATAATAGAAATTAGCTACATGTATATAAAACGACAAAGCCACCCCGTTTCCCCGCTGTATGTTACGGGGGATTGATGGTTTTGTTTTGGTAGTGGTTGGAAGGGCAACGGATGTTCTTCCCATACTCACTTAGATCCTTATCCAAAATGATGGACAGCACTTACCACTCCTACTTAATTATGTTATTATCTAGTACATATATGCATTCATTAATTTTGTTTAGCTGATCTTTAGCTTCTCTTTCCTCTTTGTTTAGGGTTTTGTACTATTTTTATTTTACTACATAGAAGACTCCCGTTACAGAACCTAGCTAAGATCGATGGTTATACATGTGGGAAATGAACATGTGTGTCAAAATTAGGAACTGACTGGGTATAGTTGAATGAATAAAGAAATGCAAGGGGGCATATAATTGTTCATGACATCAAGTCCAATGACAGCTGCAAAGCAGACAGGGTGAAGGAGAGAGCAAAATTTGCCATAAAACATGAACACTTTTTTATAAATTGCTTTTAAAATAAGATCCTTACAAATGAGATAAAAAGCACACAATAAACAAAATGAGGCATGTTCCATTGGGTCAGGAAGATCTGAGGCAGGATCTCCAGGGCTTCAAAAAGGGTCACGGAGATGCATATGAAATATTCCAACATCAACTTTGACATTTCCTCTGTCATCTCCGAACTTATCTGACTGCCCATCACCCCATACTCCTTCCATCATCCTTTCATGTCCACATTAAACGAAGATTTTGTGTTGGTCTGAAAACTAGCCAGAAGCGCTGCTATGATGAATGGAGCCTTGTCTGAACACTTAGGGGACATCGTGGAGGCTTTGTCCTTTCTTCTGCTCAAGTTTTTTCTCTGGTCGATTTGGAGGAATCCCACCTAAACAAATCTGATTATTTGATCTTTATTTGGATCATATCTAGATAGCGGCCACCAAAGTTAGGTTGCGGTACTTTCTTGTACTGTTTGTTAAAACAGAGTATAGGTATGCTAAAATATTATAAAAACAATCTGGGTGTCTCAATTATAGAATTATTTCGTGTAGTAGATGATTAATTACATGTGAATGATTCAGTCAATGATCCTTTTTTTTCCCCTCTCTCCATGATATCGCTCTAGGTTTCTTGATTCTTGCTTTCTTCTTGGCATGTAAGGACCTCAATTCTTGAATTTATTGGGAGTAGTTGGAGAATTTGAGACTTTATGTATGTGTGTCCTTCATAAAGCTCATTTTCCATGAATTGAGTGCTACAGATATGGGGAGCGTGCATTATAGGGAAGACGAAAGGGAAATTAAAATTGACCGCTAATTGGCACCATTAATTAAGTTCGACAAGCATGAAACACGAATTGAATTTGGAACCAACCAACAAGGATGGCCAAGATAAAATACTACTCCTAAACATCAAAACCGAGAGGAAGAGGTGAGAGATCCTTTGTCTTTAAATGAAAAGCATCCATTTCTAATTAAAGTTTTTATACCTTTCAGCAAGTTTATTTACCATAAACTAAATTTCAAAGGCAGGAAAAATTACAAAATATTCTAGCACTGCAATGTATGTGATTGATTACCCAATTCCTTGGTGCCAGGGGATTTTTGTTTGGAGCATATTCATTTATTTGCATATTGTATGATGACATGGTAGTTTATGAGATATCTAGTGCTGATTTGCAACAGGGCATGGGGCTCCATCAAAAACAAGGAGTACTGAGCATAAATTCTTCACACAGATGCTGCCTAAAAGGCACAGCACATTTTGTACCCACCATAAATAAATTTTGAAAACAAGAAATTTATTTCCAACTTTTCCTCTCAGGTTGCTTCCCATTGCATTGACAGGAAAAAGAAAAGAAGAAAATTGTAAGGAACAAGATCTTTTGAGATCCATTTCTTTTTTACTTTGGCAGCTTTTTTTTGTTTTTGGTTGGTTACATTTGGCCGCCCTCTAATTTCCATCATCTCTTCTAGAGAAGCTTCAAAGGTAATAACAACAGTGACCGGAAGTAATGCACAATCACCGTATATTATTCTTCCCTTTAAGCCACCAGAAATAAATCGAAACATTCATCATTTATCAAACTTTCGAGTTCGCACTTTTGAAAAGAAAGGGAAAAGAAAATTACATTTATGGCTTAAACATTGTACGATGTTCTAACTGCCACGTCTTGCTAGAACTAAATATTATGAAACATACTCATCTGATTATTTTGAAGTTGGTTTCCAGATAGAGAAGGGTGTATGTAACCAAAGTGGTCTTGATTTTGCAGATCTTCCCTGCAAGAATGAGCATGCTTGAGATATCGCCATCAGATGATATTTTGATGTTAAAAAGGCAGACAGAACCTTGGATTAATGAATTAGGCCAAGTACCTGAAAATGATTAGCTGAAAAACCCTGTGAATAATCCAATACACTCTCCATCGAAGCTTGGTTGTTGGAGAGAGCAGAATTATTCTGCTATATATTGTAAAAAAATAAACAAGAAAGCAAGGTTAATATCAAGAATAATGAAGGTATGATACAAAACGTGAGAATTCTCTAATTGGCATTCTAGATGTAGAAAATATTGCTACAAGGCTGTATGTTTATGAACAAACCATGGAGAAGTTGAAAGCTGGAGAGCTAGCAGTATCGTCAAGAAAAGAAGGCAGTTGTTGATCCTGCTTGTGACGTCTATGTTCTTTCTTTTTTGGGCTATAATTGGCACCATTATTCAGCAACGTAGTATCATTGGGTGATGGATAAAAGAAGCCATTATCGTGGTTGAAGTGACTTTCATCTTCATAGAAATGTGGAGGACCAGAAGATGCATCGGAGACCATAGACAAGTCCTCCTCCTCCTCCCCCTCCCCCTCATCTTCTTCTTCGCAGTCTTCTTTAGTGTTTTTCCCTTTTCTACCAAAACCGGTACTCTTTGCATCAACAAAGTCAGTGCTATTATCTCTGTGTTTAGGATTTGGGTGGGGAAGAAAAGATTGTTCCAAGTATAGAGTCCAACCAGACTCACAGTCATCACTGCACTCTGAGGCTAAGCAATTACTCATTTTCCCCTTGGCTAGAGAGTAGCTAGTTTTCTTTGTTTAGAACGAGTCTCAAAGAAACAATCACTACAAGAGATGAGAAATTTTCTTGTATGAGGCTTCCTTTTTATGAAGGAGGAGAGCTAGCTAGCTAGATAGTTGTACCTAGCTAAGGGCAATATTACTAACAAAAACAGTGGGGCTGTGTATGTCAATTTTTGGTGCTGAGCTAGGGATAGAAACTTATATCCGTTTATTTTCATGTTTTAGAAGTGTATTTAAAAATATTTTTATTTTTATTTTTATTTTAAATTAATATTTTCAGATTATTTTAATGTCCTGTATTAAAAATATTTTTTTTAAAACAATTTTATTTTAATATATTTTTAAATAAAAAATATCTTAAAAACCTACCACTGGATAATGCTTTTAGAAGTGTGGAGAGGGTGTGGAAAAAACAAGGAGAATCAGGTTCAAATCCTAGCGTATTTTTGTCCTCACTCTCCGCCTTCAGGCCCTCTATGTGAATGGATCAAGATTGCCAGTTGGGCGTGTAGTAGTGGGTGCATGCAATTAGAGAGAGAGAGAGAAAGAGAGAGAAGGGAAAGGCACAACCTCTTCACATGCTGGACAGCGAGGCACTGCGTCCTCGCTTAACAAAACCAGGTACACGTCCATTTTCCCTTCCACATTATATGGACACCTATCCCTTGTCTCTCTCTCTCTCTCCCCTGTCACCATGCTTCTTCCTTCGTCTTTTTATTTTTTCTTTTCTTTTGGTTAGCTCTCTCTGATTTTATTACTATGTTTTTGCTATGATCTCTTTTGGACCTTGAGTGGACGTGGTCCTGAAGAGAATGATTTTGTTCAAATAATTAAATCTTCGGGTATAAATGTAGCTCTAGCTATATATTGATTTAGCAGGAAAAGGGAAATGATACACATTATTGTTTGTACCCATTTTTTATATGAACATGTGTCATGTTTGGTCAGTTAAGTAAAGAAAACAAAGGTGCGTTTTTTCAGAATAAAAGAAGAAGTAAAAGCGAGCCCATCTCCTTGGGCTATGGAACCACTGTAAAAGCTAGCCCATCTCCTTGGGCTATGGAACCACTTGTGTGGTGATGCTGATAATGAAGAAACACAGCCTCCAGGCTCCTCTGTAGAGTTTTTGCTGCCCTCAGAGGCTCATACACCCACACAAATGTGAGGCATGGCAGCCCGAGTGGAGACTGAAGATTGGAGAAGCTTTTCTTGGGGCAAGGTCTGCAGGGAGTGCGATGCTACTAATGCAGTTGACTAGGTTTTTATGAATCTCCACATGCTGTCACATTTTAGCCTCTCTACTTTTCAAATACTATATAGTCCATTCGTTTTGCAGGCTCCTAGCTCTATTATCCATTGAAGAAATCACACATGCATGTGGGCACGTGTGCATATACATTTGCATCAATATGCATATGCGATAGCTTCTAAATATTCACACACATGTATGCACGTGCACACGCACTTCAACCCGAGCCTCTCTGCTAAATTCCCATTTACTAGTCTCACTTGTGTGATCTTTGGTACTCATTCCAAAGCTAACTTCCTCACCCTTTCTTCTTAAATTAATACCATTAATTAATATTTACTTCAAATATTCATGTGTGAAAGGGATATATATATATATATATATATATATATATATATATATATATATATTTTATCCAAAAGTAGCTAGCTAACATTTTCGTAACATTTATTATATGTGTGGGGTTCTAAATACTATACCTACCATATGATGAATTCTTCATAGATGATCTTAATCATGGTCAATCTCTCCACATGATCACACTAATTAGGTGTTGATATATAATTCTTTTTTGCTTTGTCTGAGCTTTTAAATGGCAGAATTCTGGGAATGCTAGCGAAACACTTCTCAGAATTTAATCGAAAGACCACACACATATGCTCCATGTAGTTAGTCAAGCCATGATGAATCATATCTATACACATTATTTAATATATCGATTTTATTTTTTTTGGAGATCTATGACTAATTTATTTTAGAGATGAATATAAATCCTAACATATATAATAATTTCTACATCTTATAAAATATGAATTCATAGTATGTACATTATGCTGGTGTTTCCTGAAATAAAATTACAATAATCTCTCTAATTAGAATATTTTCGAGAGAAACCACGCGAACTATGTTAATTAAGTTGGAAAACGAACAAAAAAAAAACCCATCTTATTAAAATTATAGCTTTTATCTTTAAATCTATTGGAAAACAACAGAGCTAGCAGACCATGTATCTGTTATTGTTGATTTTACTGATACGTACAAACATAATCTTTTCAAATAAACTTTTTGTTATAATCTCCCCTCCTTATGAATAT